CGGGCCTGACTGCCTCGGTGCACGGGGCAGTGGTGGAGCCAGGCCGGGCCTCCTCCCAAGGCTCGCCTGCAGTGCGCCGGAGCCGCGCCGTGCGGATGCACGGGGTTTGATGGGGCCCAGTCCAGGCAGGTGTCTTGGAGAAATACACTGACTCTTACGCTGCTGCTGCAGCCCATTACGTATCTCTTCTTATGTCCTATTCTGGTCACCGTGTGCGTGGCATATACTGGAGAGGAAAAAAAATTGGTAAAGCAGTATTGCTTTTATAGCATAGCTGTTGCCCCCCCTTTTGTGCTGTCTCTCCTATTTTATCTTTAACTTGGAGGTTGATTCCCATTTGTTTCTTTCCCCTCATAATGTAAGGATGACTTGTATATTTTCCTTGAAATTGCAGTCTCCTTTGCTCTATGACTCTCTTTTAGATCTCTTACTCTTTATCTACTTCTTAATCACAGAACTGTAGGGCAGAAAGGGATTTCCAGAAGTCATCTAATTCATCTGCCTTGTCAAGGCAAGATTAGCTTTGCTTCTGATAAAAACGGGTCAGACAAATGTCTAACCCTCTCCAAAGCTTACAGTTTCACAACCTTTCTGAGCAGTTTATTCCTTTTCCATGTTCTCCTCCATCCTTGTCCTTGGAATTTTTTTTGGCTTCCTCCAACTTGGTAAGAATTACAGGCATCCTGTCTTCGGTCGCCATTTCTTGTTCTGGGCCTTTTGGTAATATTTGAAGGCAAAGATTTAAAGCTTTTAGGCAAGTCATCAAAGTATACTATGTCTCTAAAATCTTGTTACAAAGAAAGACTCTACCTCTTAAACATTGCTTTTCTATCCAGCCAGAGGCAGCTAACTAGTGTCCACGCCGCTCTCATCTCCTGCTTTGATGTTTTGTGGCTAGAGGTCTTAGACTTGATGATTATATAAGTAGCAACACCTAAAAATCAAAACAGATGCATGGCTGCTTTAAGGAAAGAGCAAACAAATAACTTTTTGTCATGTACATCACAACATACCTAAATTAAGGAACGAGTTTCATCATGATTAGTTTTCGACCTACTTTGATTTGGCTTAGTACGCTCCTATCATTTTATGAATGAATTTCTTAACTAGTTATTTCGCAAGAGGGAGTGGCTGGAAAATAGCTTTAGATGGGAAACTTCATTCTCGTGAACAGTGCTACCAGAGTGCCACTCCCAAAGCAGTGGTGGGTTTTTTTTTTTTCCCCCCACTGCTGCTTGAAAGTAATTTTTCCTCTTCTTTTGTAGTGGGGAAAACATCTCTGATCACGAGGTTTATGTATGACAGTTTCGACAATACTTACCAGGTATGTGGTAGTCTTTTTCTTTTTTTCTTTTTTTCTTTTTTTTTTTTTAAGATGGGTAAATCTACTCACTATTAAAATATATGCATTTAAGATCTAGGGGGAAACACATTTCTCCATCAGATGTCAAATCAATAGCATGTGTGAGGTTGTAATGTGCATTGAAATGGAGATGAGACTTTATGGTTAAGCCCAAGCATCTAGTTTGATGTGAGGATGGGCAGTGTAGAAAAAAGCAACAATTGCTGTGCTGTCTGAATGCGTGAAAATCCTGAGTAGGAAGGGTAAAGAAGTTATTGGTTTATGAGGTTGGCTCACAAGGTGATGGTCAAGACTGAAGATGGATGCAGAAATGTCAGGAAGCAAAGGATAAGAGATGAATTGTGCTTGTACGCTTCTTGGTCTCTAGAGTCTTCATGACTTTTTCAATTTATATAGTAATAGTTGGGTCCAGAGTGCATAGGTAAACCTGCAAGATGTCTGCATACAGGAGTAGTTGTTGCTGTTTTTTAAACCTAAAATGCCATAGGTAGAAAAAGCCAGGGAAATTCTGACAGAACGTGAGCAGGGTAGGGATGAGGAGCCTTCAGATGAACAGCTAAAAATACGTAAGAGGGCTGAATGCAGAACTGGGGTAGTCACAGAATCTGAGGATTTTGTGAAGACTTCGTTGCATCGAGAGTATTTCAAGAAAATAGGAAGTAGCTTCAAGGAAATACGAACCAGCTTCCAGGAAGCTGGTTTAAGTGCCAGGGAAGTGTTTAATACATCTAACTTAGTAAATTCCTCCAAATGTCTTTATACCAGAACTGCTTTACAGGAGTGGGAATGTGAATGGGAGGAGACTTGCAAAGGGAGCTGTTTGGGAAATGAGGCCTCTGAATCTCACTGAAAGGGAAGCGCATTCTCAACTGAAAAGCCCTGAGTAAACATCACTTTTTAGATTTCAACACAGTCACCCATAATTTATGCGTGTAATTTCTCAGCAGTATTCAAAATAACATTTGCTCTACCTTTTGGTTATTTCTAATAGAATTCTTAAGACTAAATTGCTGTAGACTGGAGGGAGATGCCAGTTCTGATATCATCTTTGTTAAGGTGCATTAATGCTTGAGAGGTAAAATCAGAAACTCATATGATCTTGTGCAGTTGAGAAGTGTTTGAAGAGTGATGTGAACTGAAGATGGTGCAGATGCCCGTAATGCTTTTTTTTTTTTTAATTAACTATATTGAAGGGAAATGACTTGAGCTTAATTGTAAGTTTGTGAACGTTTTTGAGAGATTGCATAGAAAGTTCTGATTTGCAGATACTGGAAAGCAAGTCGCAGTTACTAATGCCTTTTTTTTCTTTTCAGGCAACTATTGGAATTGATTTCCTGTCAAAAACGATGTATCTTGAAGATCGCACGGTAAGTGAGGCATCTGTGTGATAGCATGGCAACTGCAGTCATGGGAGCAGCAGCGGCTGTGCATGCTTCTTGCCTGGCTATTCCTCCAAAGGCTGCTGAAATCCCACAGCAGCCTTTAGAGGGACAGCTTTTGAGATACTGGACTCCTCAGGCAGTTAATTCTTACAGTATGAATGCTTTTCTTGTGTTTGAATCAAATCGTTGACCCAGTCTCCTGTTTTCTGGTACTAACTAATATTTGATGCTTCTAGAATGAAGTCAAAACCTTTCATGCAAAATTGGGGCAAGCTCATGTCCACGTCCCAGGGGAGTGGGCTGTCTGCTGTTTGTACCATAGGCATGGTTTGCTCACAGGATTTGCAGCTCTGCCTCTGGGATTGTCAGTCTAAATGGAGCTGAATAGGCCCAAAGTAGTTTTGAGTTTTGAAGTCATTCAAGATTACCGGTGTTGGCAGAGTTCCTCCTTGCAGAAAGACGCAGCCAGTAATGCAGTTCTGGCTTATTGTTAATAAAGCAGTTTTGGATTTAGCTTGTGTAAGATTCCTTTTTGCAGAAAGAGACCCCTCACATCCCTCTTCTCTGTCTTTCAGTGTTTGTCTTTTCATTAGTTCATGTTCAGTAATACTTGCCTTTTCCTTTTTTTTTTTTTTTTTAAACTATTGACTAAGGATGAAACTGTTTGGGGGGTCAGTGGTATGATACAAGTTCTTTGTGTTGCTTTGGGTGTGTTGCTTGGGAAGAAGTCTGAGCCCAGTGAGTGTGGTGGGTTTCCTGATTGCTTCTCTGCCATGTTACCAGTGATTCACTGTTAGAAAAGACCTTCTTTAATCTTTGAATGGAAGAAACTACTTTGATAATGTTCTCCAACTGTGCTAGCAGTAGTGGAAGAAGAAAAAAAAATCTTGAGAATGCTGCTTGACACCTCTGAAGGCAAGTTGGAATACCTGTATGTTTTTTTCAATAGTCCATAATTCTCAAGGGTAGTCTTGACCTCTTATGGTTGTATAGGTCACAATGTCATTCACCCACTGACCTGCTAACCAGAAAATATCCTCTTCCAAATGTCTGGTATACTATTAGCCACCGTCATTATGGTGGCAAGTGGTCCAGTAGAGCCCATAAAGCCTGTTAAATGAGAGGAAGGAGAAATACCAGCATAGAAGCTAAGAAAATTTTTTCAGATGCTAATTTCTCAGATACGGCTAGTGCTGTATTTTACAATAAGCTTTGACTGTCATGCTTGAAATGAAGAATAAGCCTGTAACTGCAGTATATACGTTGGCACATCTGATATATCCCTCCCTTAAAAATACACCCGTGCCAGATCACTCCGCTCTAAATATGGCTCGGGTAGCACATACTAAGCAGTAGAAGGAACAAATACATGTGGAGCTGAGTTCTTCACAATCAGCTCTGGGACGACTCCCACAATTGTAAGTGTGCCATTTATAGCACTTTGTTAATACGGTCAAAGCTATGGCACTAAGTGAACTGGAGCCAGGAGAAGCCCCATCCTCACTCCTGACTGTCAGGCTGACAGTTCTGTGTCACAGCTAGAACCTCAGTTTTGAAAGGCTGAATGGTACTTTCTTATCTGTGTCGCAGTGTCTTCTCAGACTTGCTGGGTTAAGCACAAGGTAAGCCTATCTAGAGGATGTTTGCTATCCTGGCTTGCATCCCACTATTACGTTTCAGCACTTCACGTTAGGCTTTCCAGTGGATTACTTAGTAGCTGGGTGATCTAGTCCTTACAATTAGGTGTGACTGCATCTAGCTAGACATAGGCTGCAGTCTGCTTGTATGATCGTGATAGCCAGAATCCTGGCATGGCAGGATGCACTGAGGTAGGTATGCTTGTTTCCGTCAGTGGACGGTATTAGAAGTTATTTTAGGAATATCTTGCTTTCCTGTTGAAAAGGAGGAGCTTGTTCATGTATGTGAGATGGATTAATGGGCTTGTGGAGGGAGGGAGGTTTTTCAGACACGTTAGGCTGAGGCTATGACAAGGATGGGGTTAGAGGTATCGTTGGCTCTTTTCATACTTCTGTTCCATTTTAACTTTCCTTTTGTTGGGTTATTTTTGCCTTGCAATTTTTTTCTTTTTATTTCACTTGAGTTTTGGTTTTGTTTTCCATTTTCCTGCTCTTTCATTCCCCTACACTTTTCCGTTTCCCAGATCAGGCTGCAGCTGTGGGATACAGCCGGCCAGGAGAGGTTCTGCAGCCTCATTCCCAGCTACATCCGTGACTCTGCTGTGGCTGTCATTGTCTTTGACATTACAAGTAGGTATTGAGCCTGGGTATCTGCAGAGGCCTTGCTGTTAACGTGTACCTTTTATGCGTTGGAAGTGGTGGTATTTTCAGAAAAGGCTGTTTTCTGAAAGGAACTAAGATAGGCCCTCTGCCCCAGGACTGTAGGTATTTCATGGATGGATTTGCTTTTACTGAGCATCTTCCCCCACACCCAATAGTAACCATGTTCCATGACGTAGAAACTGGGGAATGTCTTGTCTGCTCAAAGCTCAAACTGGAAGTGATGTGCAGAGAGCTGTCAGGTAGGTGAATTGGGTTTATATATTCTTGTATGTCCTCAGTGATTGGTAGCCTTTGTAAAGCTTTTTACTTTTTTTTTTTTTTCCCCTTCAATTTAGAAGTGAAAATTTCTTCTGCTCTGGATAACTAGAGAATTAATAAAAGTAGCAACAACACATGCCAAAACAATGAAACATTGTCATACTATGTAAAATAGTACACCTCCTATTTAAACAAAAAGCTACCTAGAAACTTGTTGAGGGTTCAGGACTTCCATTTCATTGAAGGTGAGAGCTTGCTGTTCATATGAGCCACCAGCGAACTTCTGAAACAGAAGAGACATAATTACCATAATTTCTAAAGCATGAACAAACTTTGAGGCCAGTTCTCTGTAACTCTTGGCAGGAGAGTTTTAATGTAAAATAGGATACGAATACAATGATTATTTTGTTATAACTCCTTGTTATTGACTCTACTTGATCTGACTTTTTCAGTTAACCTACAGTATCAGCATAAATATGTATGCAGGATTTATACCGGTGAGGCCAGTACCATGTAGACAGAATCTGAGTAAAGAACATAGCACAGATGAAAAACCTCTGGACTCCTTTTATTCTGTCACAAACTCTAGATTATAGTGAGTCTTTAGAGATCCAGGTTTTGTTGCACTTTGGTAAATAGAAGTACTTAACAGGTAGAAAGACAAAATCTGTTACCATTTCTCTGAGGCAGTGAAGGCAAATAATTAAGTGATCTTTGAAATTCTAATCCTCTAGTTTAAGTACTTGTCTCAGGGAGGCTTTCTGGCTTGGTACAAAATAAAAATATAAAACTGAAGTGAACTGCTTAGTGTTTGAGAAGCAACAAGATGTGCACGTGATGACTTATGTTGGGAACAGATCTGGATGAGACAGAGTGGCAGGCTCTAGAAGTTGGCATCTTTTTCTCCCCCTATCGGGACAGGTAAAGGATGCTCTTTGCCCAGACAAGTTGAAGAATCTGTCACAGTCTAGGCTGTTCTTAAGTTTCCAGACCTGTCAGAAATTATTTAGTGGTAGGTGATTTCATCATGCCTTGGTAATGGTCTGATCTTTTCAGATAATTTCATTTTTCTCGTTCCTGCTCTTTGATCTGTTTTTAGCTAGTGAGAGGCTTTTAAATCTCTTGTGTTTGTGAAGGAATATGCTCATGTACTTCTGAGGTGATGATAATGGTGAACACTACTGATATTAGGAATGCACATTTAATTTTCTTTACCATTGTAAAGAGCTATATATATGTGTATATATATGTATGTATGTATATATATGCATTGTCTCTTAGTAGTCACTGTAGTTGGGAATCTCAAATGGTCTCTAAGAAGTTAATGCTGGTCAGCATCCGGGCAGGGTAAAAAAGTGGCAGCTCCATATGACATACTTAAGTACCAACCAAGATGCTCTTAACTAGTAGACAGAAACTGTTAGCTAGTATGCGGTGGGCTGAGAAGAAAAAGAAAAATTGCTTGTGTTAATCTGCTGGGCACTTTGAAGTATTAGTTGGCTATAGAAAGAAAGATGGTGAGGCAGACTGCAATTTGGCCCCTTACAGAACAAGTTACCTTATGCACTGATTTCTGAGTGAGCTCAGAGTAATGCTTGATTGAGAACCTCTCATCTTTCCAGATCAATGCTGTCACTAGCAAGCTGTTTTGTTTGAGGGGGTTGTATTTTTTCCCTTCCTCTCCAAAAAATGGTTGCACAACAACTTTGACTGCTAGAAACCAGAGGCTACAGAAATACTGCAGCTAACTTTCCTTCTTAGGTCCCTTCAGGGGTGCCTTCCCAGTACCTCCAGACTAGCTGAATGATTTCCCTCAAACAGTGGTAGCCTTCACTACAACAAGATCACCAGTCTTCCACCAAGTCTGTAGTGCTTCCTTTAGTTGCATTTTTGATCATGAGTCTGAAGCTTGGAGCACTTGAACTACCAGCTTGGTAAATTTTCTGAGTAAATAGGCTGGTGAAGCAGCAATGTCTCGGGACTCTCTGTGGCAGCTCATCGTGGAGTCCAGAAGCAATAGCCTGGAGCAGTCATTACCAGTCTGACCTGCCAGCACTGGTGGCAATTGGTGTAATGTCCAAGTGCTAGGAGTTCATTGCCCTGCGTTTTCCTGGGGTACTGAAGAGCCCTGATTCTTGCTAATGTAATCAAGGCTGTCTCCAAAACAAAGAGAACAATTCATGTGAGCTAATTGTTTCAACTATAAGCCCTAGTTGTCCTGAACACTGATGGCAGCAGTGTGGTATCCTGATGTAAATACCACTTTGTTTTGAATGTGCTTGTGGCAGGATATTTTGCAGACCTGTGCTCTGTCCAGCTTCTGTTTAAATTTCTTAGAAGCAAAGTAACTATTGGTCCTTCTTAAACTACTTTCTCCCTTGTAGCTAGTCTTCTGCAAGCTCCCATATTAACAGATGTTCTAAACGTAAAAAGCTGTTATCCCTTATTGCTGAGTAAGTAGCTTTGTGAAGGCTTCTAATTGAATTCGTGTAATCCAGCCGGATTATTTTGGGAGCGATCATCTATGCTCGTATGAAACTTGTGGCCACTGAGAGTGTCAATAGCAATCTTGCTTTCTGACTGTGTAGCACTACTGGCACAGCCAGCTGTGTGGAACGATAACTTGGAAGGAAATGCTTTCACTCCTGATTGCTCATTGTTAAAAGCTTTTGTTTAGCATTTGTTGTGGTAACTGGGTATTTTTTGACCATTTCTGTTTCAAACAGGCAAGTCTCCGCATTGCGTGGACATAATGATTGTTATTACTTTAAATACACGCACAAGATCTTCATATGGATTAGAAGATAAAGGAATAGAGAAATAAACCAGGCTTTAGAGCTATCATATAGTAGTTCAGTTTGTATTTTGGGCATAGCTCTGGTGCTGGAATCAAACTGCATCTCTTTATCATAGAACTTGATGTTTGTTTCTGATTCTTCTGCTTATGTGCAAGGGAGGCATCCAATGGCCATTGTGTCACATGTGGCGTACAGTTTGCAGCATTTGCTTTTGTTTCTGCTGCAGCTTAAGTTATTGATTGCCCTAATCTTGCAATCCCCGTTACCATTTTCTGGATGTTTTTTCTCTACTTGGTGTCTGTGTTGAGGAAATTGCATGTCTGTCATGTGAGAATTGCCCAGAGAGCTTTGATCTGAGACTATGTAGGTTGGGAGTACTGTGGAGACACCACACACGGTTCTGGGTAAGGAAGACCAACTCAGTGTTGCTTATTAGCTACCGCTAGCAGCGATAACTGGGGTAGCAGCCATAATGTAGAGCTCTTTGGGATGTGGTGACTGGAGGAATGGCAGAATCCCTAGGTAAACAGAGGAGGTAGTTAAAAGCACGATTTCTTTAAACTGGAAACCAGAAAAGTCAGCTTCTGTGCTCTTTGGATATTTGGGAGCAAGTTTACAAGGTCAGTCTCAGCTTCTCAGATTGAGCTACATAGAGTGAATTTTAGAAATGGCCTTTTCTCTAAAGGACAGTTTCTTCCTTTCTTTTCTCTCTTGCTGTGTCTCTGCTCTCCCTGGCCTGGTACCAGCAGGTTCGGCTGCAGCTTTGGGACACAGCAGGCCAGGAGCGGTTCCGCAGTCTCATTCCCAGCTACATCCGTGACTCCACCATTGCTGTGGTAGTCTATGACATTACAAGTAAGTGATGCTTTGGTGTCTCGTTATTTGAAATAATGCGTTTAAGCAGAACTGGTACGTTACAGCCAGAAGTTCTGCAGAAAGATAATTGATAGAAGAAACAGTTTGGGGTTTGTTTGTTTTCTTCTCCCCGGTTTTCTATCTGGGCAGAAAGCAATTGGTGGGTTGTTCATATGGGGTTTGGAGAGACTTGGAGAAATACGTGGATACGGGCATGGTCAGTTTCATGAGCATTCTCCCTCACTTGGAAGAAATTTTATCCTCAGCATTCTCAATTTCTTTGTCCCCTACAGACTTGAATTCTTTCCAGCAAACCTCCAAGTGGATTGATGATGTTCGAACAGAGAGAGGAAGTGATGTCATCATCATGTTAGTGGGGAATAAAACTGATCTGGCAGACAAGAGGTAATGATGGGGAACTGCTGGCCTTGCTGCTGTGACCTGTAAAAGCAGGGAGCTGGCTGACTTGTCTGTCTTCAAAACAATTGTTGATCTTAAATAAGAAGCATAAATAGCTTGCAGTGAAACTCAGATTTTGATGTCAGAGTATGCAAAATTGTTTTGTTTTTTTTACCAATAGTTTGAGATAAAACAAACCTACCTAAAAATTTTCCTTGTACTTAAATTAAGTATCTGTCTATGCCATCTTTCTCATGGTGTATCTTGTCTAAGTTTTCTTTTTGTGCTGAGATAAAACCAAAAGGTTATCTTGCAAAAGCAAGGAAATCTGCCTTTTTTTATGGCCATGTTTACATGACTCTTTCTGCACGTGCAAATCTAAAAGATTATAGTCAAGTTTTTTCTTGTTACAAGATACAGCATGAGATTTTAATAGTATGAGTCTAGAAGGTTTCCCTCTGAGCATAAATTTCATGTCACATGTAACATAAACTGTGACACTGTGGAAGTGTGAGGGGAAACTAGATTAGTGAAAGTAGATTTCCCCAAGAGATGGAAAAAGTAAGTTGAATTCTTAAAACCCCAGAGATTCAATGTTTTGAGATGTCATCAAGCATTTCAGTTTTAAAACTCCTAATCCTACAGTATTACTACAGCCAGAGTAAGCAATGTAATAGCTTCTTAGAAGACCAGAGTTTTGCATTTCCGTTTCAGTTTTCTCTTAACTGTTGAATTAGTAGAACTTCTTATATTGTTTTCAGAGATTTTCATTCTTTATGAGGACATCAGAAATAGCATAGATAAGAAAAAGTCTTTGTTTTAGTGGTTAGCGTCAGTAACAGTTGGCAAAGGAATAATGGGAATAAGCCACACAGTTCCTTACCAACTCAGTACTTCAAACTGAATCACTTCAGATGTGCCAGTTACTCTGCGCTGTGTGGTTTAATCTGTAGAACGTACAAAGCATTGAAGTAACGGGAACTTTTAACTGGTACAAAAATGATCATGTCAAAAAGGCAGGAATGGAAAATAATTGGATCTCACAGCTAAAAGACTCTTACAGAAATCAAAAGCGTAACCTTTGGCTGTTTGTGAGACACTTCTGATCAAAACATAATAGTCTGAAAAGCCTTACAGGCAGAATCTGAAAGTGTTATCAAAATTTTGCGCCGATACCCGAATCGCCAGTTTGTTTACTCTGCTTCCTGGCATGATGGGCCTAGTGGGAATCTGCCTGTTTTCTTGTTGGGTGCTGTCACGTTTTAAATTCTAAACCTTATTTTACTCTTAATGGGTACCTCTGCTTCAAAATGTGTTGTGACCTGTTTTTCCCTCGTGTTTTTTTGTGTTGCCCAGATGCTCGCATGAGAGACAATACCCAGCATCTTGGCTGCACAAATTGGTATCAGGAGTTGTTCTTCCTCCTTTGTCTCTGTACAAGCCATGCTGTTAGTTTTTAGTTTGCTGCGCCTAGCAGTTCTGTTACTGGTATGTGGTTTGAGTCGGTAAGGGGAAAATTAAGTTAGTTTTTTGAGTGCAATGTGGGATTTGTGCTATGGATACTTATGGAAATGTATTCTGTGTCAACCACCTGGACTGCTTTAGTATTGATCGCTGGAATTGGGGAAAGCCAGACGGTTGAGGCCGTTCTAAGTATCCTGTGCAATGCACTTTAGAAATTTGGGGACTATTTGGTGCTCAGAGCTTCATAAATAGGTAAATGTATATAGATGGCTTGGGCTAAGGAATCCAGGTGGCAAGAATTCAGCAGTCTGGTTAGCTCGCAAAATGAGCTTGTAAAAGCAACTGAGCAAAATTTGAGAAGCTGTTCTACTTAACGCAGCTCTGTATGCTGGCCAGTTAGCATCTCTTATGCCTTACTGGGAGCTGTAAATAACTTCAGCTTTCTAGCTGACTAATCTGGAGTTAAGATTGAGGCTTTCTAATTTCTAACAAACTCCTGTTTCTTCTGGAACTGAAAAACCCACTGGGATGATTGCTGCCTTAGATTATTTTGTGATGGTACAAGAAGTAGTGTGTGTGTGTGCAGGATAGCCTGTCCAGCATTGTCATAAGAATAAGACAGCCAGAAACTTGCTGCATCATAGCTACAGTTGGAGTTCCTGTGGCAGCAGAAATTCCTGTTGTAGAAGTTCAATGTAAATGACAGTAGTCCTGAACTAGGCTAGAATTTAGAGTTAGGGTGTATATTCAGCTGTGCTGGTCAGCACAAGCTATCACTAAAAGACGCCCCCTTGTTTTGACTACGAATTCTTGCTTTTAAGAGAGATTTGTGACAAGCTGAAATACTGGGCCTTTTAAGGCTGGACAAAACCACAGTATCGGTCTGAGCTTGATCGCATTTTCTGAAATTGGATAGAGCCTACAGGAAGCCATTCATCCTATGGTAAAAACCGAATGATGATAAAAGTTAAGGTCTCCTGTCGAACGTGATTGAAGAGTTGAACTGATGATAGCACTGTTTTTATTTTGTGCAGCCTGTTAAGTTTAGCTTTCCTGCTAATGCTGCTTCAGTGGGTCACTGGTTTTTCTGCATTTTTTCTTTTTATCATTTTTGGACTATTTTTCTTTGTTTTGGTTTTTCTTCTCTGTGATTTGTTCTCATTGCTGTAGACAGGTTTCTATAGAGGAGGGTGAGAGAAAAGCCCAAGAACTGAATATGATGTATATTGAAACCAGTGCTAAAGCAGGATATAATGTGAAACAGGTATGTACAGGGTGTTGATCAGAGATGAATTTGGAGGTGCTCTCTCGCAAGCAGCAGCATAGTACTTGCTGCTGCACTGTAGTTGCTGCTGGAGCCTTTCTGTAATCTCATGGAGTTCCTTCCCGTTGACCTTTGGGGAACAGCTTTTTTGCATCAGGTGCAGCTAATGGGGATTCTTTTCCCTTGAGGATGCTGTGAATGAGACTCAAGCATACTGCACAGACTCCATCCTGTGCTGATGATCCTTTATTAATGGTCAGGTGTTCCCTGAACTACTTACCTGAGTTTGTTTCCTCCCTAGCTGGAACCTAATGAGGAACCCGTGGGTCTTGAAAACTCAGAGGTCTTGAGGTCTCCATTTGTAGATTATGCACTCTTGTAACGGGTGATGAAGAGGCCCTCTGTTGAAAAGCCTCTCAGTCACAGATATCTCTAATTGTTCCTGTCCTTCCCTTCTGTCTTTCTGCTTCTGTTTGCACCTTTGTCTAGGCAAATCACTACAGAAGAAGGTGAACAGAGAGCCAAAGAGCTGAATGTGATGTTTATTGAGACCAGTGCAAAGACTGGATACAATGTGAAACAGGTAGACCTATGTTATGCTCTAAAAAATCAGTAAATCTGTACTTCACGGCTGTATAGGGGGAGGATTAAGTTCTTGCTTACAGTTCATGCTCCACCAGATATTTACCTGTTGTCTTTGTCAGATCCTGAAATCCTTCCAGCCTAATGACCAGTGCTGCTGCTTTATCTAGTGAAAGCTTCTTTCCTGTCGAGTCCGTGGTACCTTGTTAAAGCTAAGCAAACTTAACCTACCCTGAAAGGAATCTAAAAATGGATTTTGCTGAGGGATAAGAATGTCACTGTCAAGCATAATTCTGTACATTCCCTTTGCTTTTGTTAACAGTTAATGCAGTGTTTTCTAAAATCGGTGTTGACAGCAGTCAGACTAATAGCGTATGCTGATGCACCAGAGTAGAAGTTTCTGGTTCTGTTCTCAAGCCTGACAAAAACCACAGAACAATAGAATAGTTGAGATTGGAAGGGAACTCTGGAGAGCATAAATTTCAAATTGGTGATCACTTTCTCGTATTTCAATTTGTGCCCATTGCTTCTTGCTATGAGCTTGTGATCCCACTCCCCACTAGTTCAGAAAGCGTTGTTCTGAAGCGTGACAGAATTTGGGCAATAAGGCAGCTGTAGGGCCCAAAGATTTACAGGGAAACTTTAGTACTTCTGGCATCAGGAAGTCACTCAGTGGGCACATGAACTTAACAGATTGAAGCACACCAGCTGGTTAGGAGGCCATCACAATGGGGTTAGGAGGTTTAGTTGTGGGGGGAGGAGGTTATTTTTAAACCTCTATGGATATAATTCAGTTTAATCTTTGGTTCTAACTTTCTGTTACTTTATTTGGCATGCAGGTGTCGGTAGTGAGAACTTCTGTGGCTAAAAGTGTTGAGGGAAGACATTAACTGCAGGGCCTTGGTGGTCCCTTGATGGTTTGATTCTTTTTCTTCCGAGTAATACAATTTGGAGAGGCGGATGATAAGCCCCTGCCAAAGTACTTTGAGAAAGATCCATCACTGGCTGACACTATTCAGTCTCCTTCCTTTAGTTCTTCCAAGTAAAAATACATCTTTCTACAGCTCTGTCCGCCAGACTTGTCTAGCATTTTCTAATTTGTGTTCGCTGCTGCATTAGTGTCAGCAGGAGGAGCTCTAGGCATTGACTAGAAAAATTATGCAAAAGCATTGTGTGTTCTCTGTGGTCATATGATAGTCCTTCCTAGCTCTAGCAAATCTTCTGTGGCTTAGATGCAGCTCGCTTGAACCAGCCATTCTCCTTATAGATGACTGTTGTGAAGCAGGACTTTAAGGGAGGGCTTTAAAAACCTAGGTTATTCTTAAACTTAGTCTTAAGCAGCCTTGCAACAGACTAGAAGTTTATCAGAACTCCTGGGTTGTGCAAGGTTATGTCGCTGTGTGCAGATAGAGTTGATGCTGGAAATGGTGAATTGCAGCCTCTGACATGCTTATTGAGCATGGGAGAGAACTGTTCTATGTATCCCTAGAACAACCGTTGTTAATAAAGAAAAATGCCATGTTCAGTCAAGTAGAAAGAGATAAAACTGAGTGTCTTGTAGGCATTTGGTAACTTAATCATTTATTATCAAACTTGGGTAGAGTATCTTGGGTATATCTCAGGTATCTACCCAAATATCTTGGGTAGAATTTCATGGCTTTTGCTCATCACTACTTTGCTTGCTAAAACGCTCATGTAACAAGTCTGTAAAATTCTGACTCTAAGATCTCTTGTGAAGCCATTTTTTTAACATGCGTTGTTCCTGACAAGCTTCCTGTTTACCTGTTGTTACTTTTCAGCTTTTCCGTCGTGTGGCTGCTGCTTTACCTGGGATGGACAGCACACCAGAGAAGAGCAAAGAAGACAGTATCCTTGCTTTCTTTTCAGTAACTTTCCTGTCCTTGTAGGATTTGGTGAATACCTTTCTGTCTTGCTGACTTTTTGGGTACGTTGTGGGTGTGGGCCTTACTGGGGTTTTGCAGACACTTGGCTGGAACAGCTTGTACAGTGTGGTGCTTACTTGTGGATATGAATTGAAGATCATACTTGTGCCCTTGCAATTTATAACTCAGAGGGCAAGTTTTGCTTTCTCCCCTTAAGCTTGTCCCCTTAAGGACAAAATTTGCATGGCTTCAAAATGCCACATTTGTTTTTCAGTTATTTTATTTTTATTTACCAACTCTAAACAGGCTAAGAAGCAGGATCCATGGCTTCTGACAGTAGCTGTCATTGCAGGAACATTCAGTGGTTAGTGTTCTTGCATGCTACATGCATTGAGTAATAGAGCATACAGGTGACCTGTGCTAGCAATTAGCCATATTCTGCCTGTGTAAAAGGCTAGACAAAATCCGTAGCATCCATACTTCCAAATGCAGCTTGCTCTAAATTAACAATTGGCAAAATATGCCAACCTGAAGGCTGGAGCAGGAGGAACAGGTGCTGCTCAAGGCAGTTCAGCCAGTGTCAGAAATGGTGAAAGTAGCTGACCCTTCAGTTCTGCCTCACTCCTAAAGAAATTAGTGCTGCCAGCTTTTCCAAATGTTATGGCTAGAATTTTTAAGCCCGGATTTAAAGTCGTGTTTGGATAGCATACAAATGCCTGTATGCTTTTTGATTGGAAGCTGTCAGCCTGGCTCCTCTTTGTAGGAAGGCTGTGTCTGTCTTTGGCACCCAAAAAAAGCTAAGTTGATCACTTCCTCTATTTTCTACTTGTTTTCCCTTGAACCAGGTGGTTTCCTTAACTTGTCTCCTCCAGTGATTGACATCAAACTAGAGAAACCTCCTGAGCAACCAGTAACGGAGAGTGGTTGCTCCTGCTAACAGGCCCATCGTGTAGCAGCACATTCCCCAACCGGCCAGTCTCACTGAAGAACATCACTGCTCATTGGCTAGGCAAACCTACTTTGTGGGCTGAAAAACCAATCTACTAAGCAAGTGAACTCCCTGTTTACTGGTGGGGAGCAGCCCCGGCCGCCCCTCTTACTGCATGGTATGAGCCCTGAGTGCAGAATGAGTGTCCTGTCTTTTATCTTTTTTTTTTTATGTTGTTGCACTTTGGCACTATAGTGCCCTTTTCTCTCTCTCTCTCTCTCTCTTTTTCTCTCTCTTCCCTCTCCCCTCCCCACTTTGAGCCTGTCTGCTCAAATATATCCTTTTGTGAATGCAATGAAAAAGCCACCAAGTTAGGGAAAACAAAAGCAAAGTTTGGGGGTGGGCTTTCCACCTTCCTTATTGCCTTGCATCTTAACTACTTCCCTGTCCACTCCAGCAATGTCTTTGTCCTGCATCCCTACTTCCTCTTTTTAAAGGCTGCTCCTTTTAAACTAGTCACAGTTTGACTTGGCCTTGCCTTCTTTTTGACATGCAGGTGATCTATTTCTAGGCTTTGCTTCCTGCAGGGCGCACACAATAGTAGCTGCTCAGTTTCTCCTTTCTGTGGATGGTCTTGCCTAACTCTTGCTCATCATTTCTAAGGTTTGCCCTACGCTCAGCCCCTCATGTGACACAAAACACTGCAAATCCCCCAACTCTGATACCTTGGGCCTTGTTGCTCCCATTTCCGTGGCAGAGACATCCCACAGATTGCTCTCTTCAGTTGGAATTTCTTCTCATCTTCCCTGCGGATGTTGGTGCTTGGTGAAAGAAGAGGGTGCAGAGGCTTTGCAGCATGAGATTGAGTGGGAAGAGATCCTTAGGGCGCTTTGTGGGGAGCAGTTCCTATCTGTTGATAGCAAAGGCAAACAATTCCCTGGAGTTCCTCACTACCGTGGCAATATCTGCCCTGGGCATCATTGGTGCTGTTCAGGTTCCTTCCCTGTTCTCTCTTCTCCTGTTCATCTTCACATAGGCTGGGAGTTGCTTCACATGAAGCAGGAGAACTACAGCAGATTGAATGGCAGTGACAGCTGTTTTACTTTCATGTCTAGGTTCCTGCTTAATGAACTCATACACTATATCATAGCCACTTGCTTCTGGAAGTAGACCTTGGTGGGGGAGGTAGCCATTTCATTTTTGGAATAGTGTTAAGCTGTAGCATTGCCAAAAGAGATAATGAGTAGTAGCATGGATTTATTATCAGGCGTGGGGGTAGAGGAACGTACACTGCTGAAGTGAATCTTGTAGTCATTTCTCAACCTCTGAGTGTGAGGAATATTTCCATCTCCCCCCTGCTCGATACCCCTAGTTTCTAACTGCTTTAATAGAGCTCTTCAGAAACTCTAGTTGGGGGTCTTTTTGTCTATCTGTCCCAACCAGAAGTCAACACAATAGGATTATCCATTGACAAAAAGTAAGATGGTTCTAAGCTGTTCACTGTTCTTCTGATCACCTGGCCTATGTCATGCGGACAGGGGCATACTAGTAGGACGGGAAGGGACAGTGCGCTGTGAAGGGTGCAAACGGGGCAACAGCATTTGGTAGGTTATTGACATTCCCCCGGTAGAACGCCTTGTCGGTCACTGACTTACCTGTGTGCACTTTGAAGCCCGCAGAGCTTGCATAGCGGGGAAGGAACCGTTGCTCTTGTAACCTCGGACCTGGCGCTGGCAGTCCTTGCCGGAGGAGCACCCACGCACGTGGTGCCGGAGCTGCTCTCTGGCCACGGTGACTTATTTGCTCTAAGTTAGTTAACTGCAGGTGACTTACCTCTTGTTCTTGAGAGCCTTGTCCTTTCCTCTCCGGGTGAGCTGGCCTGCAGGAGGAAGCCGGGATGTTTCTCATTTCACTCTGGAGTGCCCCCCCCCGCCCTTCTCGCCCGAAGCAGTTGGCGTAGTGGGAGTCCTTTGAACCTCACAGAGTCCGGTCCCCTCCTCTGTACATACTCCCTGTCCTGTGGGAATTGCTGATGTTCTGTCAGTGTGTCCGTGTCCGCCGTAGAGCAGGTTTTGCTGTCCCCTTCTCACGGGCAGACGTGCCCTGCCACTGCTGTCTGGGGCACTGGACTTTGGTGGGATGGGAGTGGGGGGGAGGGGAGACCTTAAGTAAGGGGGGGGGGATAACTAGTGAAATAAAATAGTTCACTTCCCACTGTCTTCTCTATGGATGTGTATAATATTGAGTGTGTGTCTCTGGCCCTGCTGTCTCCTAGCTGTTAGCCAAGTAAGTGTGACTATTAATATGAATATGGACTGTCTGACCACAGCCGTGTATCACACTAAATAAAGTTATTTCACCAACGTCTCCTCTGTCCTCCTGCGGGAGAGGCAGCTCTTGCTGCCTTCGCGTAGCGCGTCAGAAGCCTCTGTC